TTGTATAATATATATAAAACTATATATAATATCAATTGAAACCCACAAAACATGGCTTTAACGTAGACAATCGCTTTAATCCTAAAGGAGACTAACAATAAGTTAACACACCGAAAGTAAACTAGAGCACCCGGTTTTATTCTTGTACTGACGTGTAACAAATAGTAAACGAAAATAAATTGAAAACAATTTAAATGGAGATTAACCCTGATGATGACTGACCCCTGAAATATTTGTTTTGCACATTAAGTATTAATTTATTACTAGAGAACTTTCATGTACTTGCTTCAAAATATTTAACTAAAAAAGTACTACTATCCTTCTATCGGTTTCATTCCATGAGCTGTTACTGAACTGACCGAGTAGACAACAGATGTGAAAATAATAATTTTATGTTAGCATCTAGGGGATAGTGTGTTCCTTTTGGTTTTAGCATTACGGTAACGAAGCTTCTATTTTTACTTATAGATCTAATTCTTAGGTTACAGTTCTGATTTTAATGATAGACTTAGGTTTTACACAATTAGGGTCTGAAGAAATAACAAAAAGGTGCTGTTGCCACGCAGAAACGTTTAATACCACTAACGCAATCCAAAAGAGATACATAGGTAAACATTTAGTGAAATGATTTGCAAATATATACGTAACATAATTCTACGTTTTGAGGCAAAACTTCATAATGAACTTTAGGTCACTTTTAGTCCCCAAGAAATCTCCAAAATGTTCTAGAATACCTGCTTTGAAGTTCCCGTATATCTTTGCCAGTAGTACAAATGCATATTTCTAAACTGAAAATGAACGACTAAAAATGACTGGTTAAACCTGGTCCAAAATAAAAATTTGCCACTGTGTCTCAATTTTTGGTTATGTACAGTAGTATTGTACAGCAACTTAGTGTACAGTATGTGTAGCTAATCCAGTAGCCTCATTAAGTCTTTGACTTCTTGGAGAAATAGTTCTGTTTACAAAATTCACATTGTGGTTAATAATACATTGGTTAATACATCAAGAAATGCATGCAGTCTTTTCAGATATTTATTTTTTAGGAAAGGTAGGAATGCTCCTTTTCTGTTCATCCAACAATCTTTTAGTGATTCTGCCCCATTTGTTTTTATCGTCTCCTGTGCCCAGACAGAGATGGTCAGAAGTGCGAGTGTTTGCACATATAGAAAACAAATTAGGAGAAATAAATACATATTTCATTTTCAAAGAATGTAATAATTAGTTTCCCTTAAGGCCTTAACTGTCATTGTTCAATAGGGACAGATAACTGGTATTATTGTGTATTACTGTAAAGAGAATTATCATTTATTCTTACTTTTTGGAACTGCCACTAAAAGGCATGGGAGCAGTGAGAACAGATGATCCTCTCCCCTGAAGGGCACAGGAGTCTCAATCATCAAGCATTATTTTTGAAAGCACTGAGAATGAGCATTCATATGACAGACTCAATTATAATAGAGCTATAATTTAATACTAAATATATTAAATGAAAAATAACAATATCTCTAAGTATATCACTATCAATTGAATATATTAAATTATTGTGTTACATATAGAGATCTTAATATTTAAATATATTCTATATGTATTGTTAGAGCTAGATGGGGGATGGTCAACATTTAACTGTTACGTACTCTGAGGGAAAAAGTAGGAAAAGACCCTGTGAGGAGAGTGAGTGAGAAAACGTTATCCAAGTCCTGAGGCTAAAGCCAGGTCGGAGATCAGAAGCGGTAGGTCAGAAATCCAGGGAGTCACAAGAGCAAACGATAACTAACTAGAAACGCAGCTCATACTGAGGAAACAATAATGAGCTCAATAGTAAGCGAGGACAAGTTGCAGAGTGGAAGTTTAAATAGACAAAGTGTGTGAGGTTAATTAGTGGGTGCTCGTGGGAATGTGACGGTGTCTGCATGCCTGTGTGCAGTTTGTGATATTAACGTCAACAATTGCAGTTCTTGGGAGCTTCAAAGCATGAAGGGAATTGAGGTGTTTATTGAGTGGTAGGGGGTCTGAGACACATGGCCAAAGGAGTTGCCTGGTTTATCTTGGTTAATTAAGATCTTGGTAAATCATCAAGTACAGTCATCAACATCACAGGAAAATAATATGAAATGACAGAGAGAGAGGGACAGGTGAAACAGAACAGAACATAGGAGAGAGAAAAGGGAGACACCAGAGGCAAGAGGAGCTGGTTCGGACCACACTTAAAGGAGCAGATTCTAGTTAAGTATTTGAACCTGGTTAAGAAAGCTTGCTGTTCAGTTTTTTTTAAGGAAACTCTGATTTTCTCTGTAAAGAATCCCTATCTTAACCACGGTCTCTACTGGTTTTTGGATCAATGTTTTTAGAATAGGGACAGGGTTCCATTAATTTTGTAGCACCCAGAGTTTCAGTAAAGAGAGGGAGACTTAAATCTAGGTCACTTTCTATTTTATTTGAAAGGAAGTTTTGAGAGAGTGTCTTTATTATCCCTGGGATGGGCAAGTTGCTTTGCAGCAGCAGTGTTGGTGTACAGATGGACAGAATAAAATAAACAACATGAACAACAATATACTGTGCATACATATTTGCATAGAAGGTCAAGTGTTAAGTAACCATATGGCTACAGGTATGAATGGGAACTTGAATCTGTTGGTTTTGGAGTTGGGAAATCGGTATCTGTGTTCTGATGGGAGTAACTTGAAGTTATTAAACAAGGGGTGTAAAGGATCGTCACATGGATTTCGCTTTACACAAAACATGTGAATGATAGATGGAGGAGATGTCACGCCCTCTGCAGCCAGAGAGCGCTCCTTCTCTGTCCTGTCTCTTGTTTCCGGTTCTTTGCTGTCCTTCCGGTGTTTTTCTCTCTCTGGGGCTATATATTTCTGGGTTTTTCATTTGCCTTCGCTCAGCATTGACGTTCGGATGTCCTGAAACCCGCCTAGCACCAGGTCGCCCCATGTCCGCTACCTGAGGCCATAGGTTTCTATACGGCATTTCCTGAACAGCTGAGCCCAGGCTAACCCCTGTCTCACCGCTACGTATAGGGTCATTCCACGGTTTGTCCTTTCCGACATCCTTGACAGGAGAGGGCTGGAAGATCAACGCAATGACCTTTTGACATGTTCACAACTCTGCCCAGTTTATTCTTGCCTCTCAGATTCAGGTTGCCAAACCAGCAGATCAGGGTAAAAGTTAGAACAGATTCAACGAAGGATCAATAGAACAAAATCACCAACGAAGTGAAATACTGAAGCTTCCTTAAGAAAAAAAGATGCTGTTAACCTTTTCTGAGGATCAGGTCAGTATTGGCTTTGAAATTAAGCTTGGAGTCCAGAGCAGTCCCCAACTACTTGTATTGTTCTACTAGCTCAACTGAATCTCCCCTGATGAAGGTTAGGGTGGGAGCGTAGGTGTTTTTGTGTCAATTCTCATGTCTTTGGTCTTGGACACATTTAGCTTGAGGAAGTTTTGTTCACACCATGTGGCAAACTCATGAACAATTGGTCCTCGGTGTCACGATCATAAGCCCCTCCTCTTAAGGACGCTCTGGCTTTTCCTCTTTTGTCCTGATTTTCCTGCAGCTGATCCTGTTCCAGCCCCTCCCTTTAAAAGCCAAACGCTTGAAATTATCAGAACTTTTCAGTAATGAAAAGAGCAAGACAGAATTCTAAAATATTGAGACTGCAGGAGGGGAAGGCATCAGTACTGTATGTTTACTGTAAGTGACAGAGAGAGAGCTGCAATCAACAGATCTACAGTATTTTGGAAGGAATCAGCAGACGGAGTGAAGAGATGAGCAAGAATAATGTCTACACACCATAATGTTTTCTGCCTGAGTGAGAGGGAGGGGCTTGTGGAGAGGGAGGAATACTTGATGGGACAAGCTGTAAAAGAAGGATTAGATGGTGGCTTTTGAGAAGTAACCGGGCATGTTGAGGGGTCTGTGATACTGGAGATTGTGGCAAAGGAAGAGTAGAGAATACAGGGGAAAAGGAAATTTGGAGAATGGACAGAGTAGGACTGAGTATTGGGCAAGAGCGAGGAAGAGTTGTCTTGGCTAAATTACAGGCAGAGAGGGCTGAAGAATGTGTACTCCCACTGAACTATGAAAGACACCCAGGAACAAGAAGGGAATCACAGATTGCAGGGATTCTAGGACCTTGTTGTCTTAGCCAAGGAAAGGATGGCAGACTCAGGGCAAAAGAGGACTCTAGCCAGGAATAGTGACCCACCTGAAAACCAGTGACAAAGACACAGAACCTTTCGGATCCAAGCTTCAGTAGATGGTACACCAGTTGAAGAGTTGGGGAGAGAGGAGAGCAGAAATAAGATTACACATCAAGGAGGATCAATCAGATACATTTGCAAGAAAAAGACTGAGGACCCTTTGGAACTCCCTGGTTTTCTGCATTAATTAATCATACAAATGTGGTCTGATCTTCAACTATGTCACAATAATAGACAAACACAATCTGCTTAAGCTAATAACACTCAAAAAATTGTACTTCTTCTTGTCAATATTGCACACAATGTTTAAACATTCACAGTCCAGGCTGGAAAAAGTATGTGAACCCTTGTGTT